CTGTATGATCCGTTATTATAGATTCGTCCCATTACATTTTGAGGGAACCCGTCTGAAGCAGCCTTATCGGATTATATTTGTAATATAGCCCCTTTGCATCCAACAGGTTAAGTTTCATAGCCAGAGCCTGGTGGAATTTTTTCGCCACATTGTTGTGCCTCTGCAGATACTTCGTACCAGCTAGTACTCTACATCTAGCTGTGATATGTTGGATTGATTCGTACGTCGCTGAACAAAGTCAACATTTATCAGATGTTGTACTGCTTTTAGAACGTGCCTCCTATATGACCTGGTGGCAATGACTTGATCTTGAATGGCGACTACAAAGCCTTCTGTTTCAGAGAATAGCCTTCCATCCGCCAACCATTCCACAGATTTTTCTTTGTCTATGGAGGCTTCATTCAATTGGCTGTAGTATCTGCCATGTAGTGCCTTGCTTTTCCATTCTGATAGCCTTTCTTTTTCGGACACAACTGTGAAATCTCCGGCTTTGTTCAAATTGAGTGCCGTTAGACCTGAATCCATATTCGTTATAGTAAGGTAAATCCCTGTCGTTTTAGAATGAAAATATCGTCGTAGCGCCTGTTATTATTATTATTATTATTATGAGTTAAGTTATGAAGTTTCTAGACAATGAAAGATTTACTTACGGAACAATTGCTCTAAGCTACCAATTAATTTAAAACATTCATATAAATGACTATAATCAGGTCTATATGGACGTACGGAGTTGAACTTTGCGGCTTAACCAAACCATCGAATTTCTATCGTAAATATTTGTCTACTGACCACTGGCGCTATAGATACATTTTATTTTTATTTTTTTCTTCCTTAATGACATTTACAACTGTATTACATAAATACATCTAGTAAATTTAGACATAATAGATATAATGACATGAATACACTTGCTGAGTAACTACCCAATGGTAGCACTCTACATAGATACATTAAAATTACTATAGATAATTGATAATATATTGATAAGTTATAATTTATCCTAGTTATTTGAATATATTGGTTTACTCTAGTTAAAAAATTAGAGCAATTACTTTAAGGATTTGGGTCCTTTGTTAGGCTAACTTTACATCATACCCTTCTAGCAACCTTCGCGGACGATATCGCCATCCTGTCATCCCACCTAGATCCTGAAACTGCATCCTTAAATCTGCAAAGACACATCTCCCTAATTGAGCAATTGTGCAACAATTGGAGCATTAAGATCAATGAATCCAAATGCAAGCATGTCACCTTTACCCTACGACGCAGATCCTGTCCACATATTCTTTTCAACTCTGTACCTCTCCCCGTCCAATCCAATCTATCAATAGAAAACAAACTATTAATATACAAGACCATACTCAAACCCATCTGGACCTACGGACTTGAACTGTGGGGGACAACTAAATTTTCGAACATCAAACAACTTAATCCCCTCCTACTCAAACATCATCCTCTCCGGCGACTTTAACACCAATTTACTGGCACCATCCTCTGATTATTCCTACCTAACAAACCTCTTTAATTCTCTCAGCCTTTACATAGTACCCTACAATCCAACCCATCATACTCAGTATTCAGAGTCCTGGCTCGATCTAATTATCCTGGATTCCTCAGACAAACTCCTTGCCGCATCTCAGCACCCGGTTCCGTTTCTATCTTCCCACGATCTTGTCCAGATCTCTTACAATGTCCCTGTTCCATCCTTTTCTCCCCGAACAATATCCTTCCGAAACCTAGATTATCTCACTCACGAAACATTGTCAGAAGGTCTTGACGATATCCAGTGGGATCCCATCTACTCCTCAAAATCCATAGACACCATGGTAGAAATCCTTACCACTCAACTTCACTCTATCCTCGACCGACATGCTCCTCTTATCACAAAAACCATCCGATATCCTCCAGCTCCTTGGCTTACCCTGCTTTGAGGGAGTGTATGAGAGAAAGAGATGCTGCAAGGCGACGGTTTAAACGAACTCGACTTCCTGATGATTTTCTCTCCTACAAACAGCTTCGAAATAGCACTCAATCAGCAGTACGCCGTGCTAAATCCCGTTACTACCATCATTCCCTATCCAACTCTCCCAATACCAAGGCTACGTGGGCTATTCTTAGAAAACTGACCATTGGTAATACACCCCAGTCTCAGTCCAATTCCGTTTCTGCTGATAACCTCAACGCTCACTTTGTCTCCTGTCCTCTTGCATCCACATCTCCCACGTCCAGTCTGGCTCCTATGTTCTCTTCCTTTAATCCTGATCACTTCTTTCTTTCCCATATTACACCAGATGAGCTCCTTAAATCCATTCAGAAGTCCCATACCAATGATTACGGTCCCGACAACATCCCAGTCAGACTGATTAAAGCCGCATTGCCATCCATTCTTCCGATCCTTTATCATATATACAATTATTCTCTTCAAAATGCTACCTTCCCTACATCCTGGAAAACCGCCCTAGTACGCCCATTGAAGAAGACTTCAAACCCATCAGTTCCTAATGATTTCCGACCGATTTCCCTCCTTTCAAACCTCTCAAAACCATTAGAGCGGTTAGTCCAATCCCAGCTATCCCATTTTTTAGAGGACAATAATCTCCTAAATCCCTACCAGTCTGGATTCAGGCCTGGTTATTCTACTCAGTCTGCCCTAATCAAAATTTCCCAAGACCTTCACACAGCCATAGATCAGCAGAAACTAACCATCCTTATTCTCCTAGACTTCTCCAAAGCTTTTGATTCAGTAGACCACAACATCCTCCTAACCAAACTTAAAAATATCTCTTTTTCTTCTAGTTCCCTTAATTGGTTCCAATCCTTCCTAACCGGTCGCTCCCAGTACGTTGTAATTCCTAATAACCCACCATCAGAATCTCTACCTCTGACCAGAGGCGTCCCACAAGGCTCTTCCTTATCCCCCACCCTTTTCTCCATCTATATAAATGACCTCCCATCCTCTATCCTGCACTGTCATTACCACCTGTATGCCGACGACATTCAAATTTACCTCTCCTTTAATCCGACAGATATCTCAGATGCCACTCAAAAACTTCAGGAAGATATTGACAGAATAAGTGCTTGGGCAAACCTCAATAGGCTCACTCTGAACGCCGAGAAGACAAAAGCCATCTTGATCGGATCCCCTTCACTCCTCAAATCCTCCCCGGTATCTCCCAATCTCTTCCTGAACAACTCACCTATCTTATTCTACACCACCGTTAAAAACCTAGGTGTTACTTTCGATCAATCCCTATCCTGGAAACCTCACATCTCCCAAATTTCCCGTCGCACTATCTCCACCCTAAAACAGTTCAATCGTCTACGATATCTCCTTCCATATAAGTCCCGTCAACTCCTAGTTTCCTCCCTTGTTTTCCCCCACTTCGACTATGGCTGTATGGTGTACGGTGGACTCCCGGGAGATTCCGAGGCCAAACTTAAACGCCTAATGAATTGCGCACTACGATTTGTTTTCGGAATCTCAAGGGATACGCATATTACCCAGTATTACACTGAGTTGAGGTGGCTCTACCCATCCTATCGCCGTCAGTACTTCCTAGCCACCTTTCTGTACCAAATTATTAGAACCCATCGACCCTCCTATATTTTTCACAGCTTACAATTCAAATATTCCATCCAATCCCGTCCCACCAGATCTCGTATTTCCGACCTCTATCCTCCTCCTCACCGAACTGCTGCGTTTGACAAATCCTTTGCAATACAAGCCGCCTCCCTCTGGAATTCCATCCCAGCTGATATTCGACACGCTCAATCAGTTTCCTCGTTTAAACCACTCCTCTTTAAGCACCTACTCCTTTCTCAATCCGAATGATTGTGAAATATATCTTAGAGAAATATCTGAGCACCACCAGAGACTACCTCAATTTATTAAGGTTATTTTAGTTTCTCATACATATGTACAATTTACTTGTTCTTTTTTTTCTCTTTTCTGTATTTTTATCGTAAGTCAACTTTCATTGTAAATATACAATTTAATTGTAGCCACACAGACATATAATCTGTATTCATATTTTGTTCTTAAGGGACAACAGTCCCAGAATAATAAAACATTTTTTTCATTTCATTTCATTTCATTTTCATTTCATTTCATTTCATTTCAAACGCATCCAATTCTTTCAGTCTAAAGTCCTCCGTATGATAGTCAATGCTCCTTATTACGTTACAAACAAAACCCTACATCATGACCTTTACATCCCTTATATCTTTGACGTTATCCCATCCCGATTCTCAAATTTTCACATGAACCTAATCCACCATCCTAACCCTTTAGCACAATCCTTATCTAGCTCCAGTCATCCCTACAACCCTCCTCGAAGGTTGAAACGGCAGTGGCCTCGAGATCTCTTGTAAAGACGTCACTGGAGTTCTGGCAATGGCCAGCTTCTCCACTCAAGTCATGAGTGTTTGTGGTTTTAGTGCCCTCTCTCAGTCTCCACCGGACTGGTAATGCCGGCGATGCGGTTGAGAGAGAAGCGCTGGGATCTCTTAGAGTCTCGCTTTGTCCTTCACACGTGGGGGAAAGGGCTGGACTCGGAGATCTCTTACCTAATTGTAAATATTGTATTTAAGTATGAATGTTTTTCTATTTATTTCTATTACTTATAATTTATTTAATTTTGCTACGAATTTCTGTATTTCATTTAATTTTAACTCTAAGTTACATTTCCTTGGTTTATTATAGTTTTTGCCTTTGCTATATAGATTTTTATATTTTTTATTTTTTTATTTATTTATTATTATTTTTTATGTATTGTATATATGGCACTCAGCCTTAGTACTCAGTGCCCTTAAGTGTGGCAAAATGTATTATTACTCAATAAACAGATAGATAAAAAAAAAAACAAAAAATAAAACTTTACATCATCTCTTTACAGCACCTCTGGATATCGATGGTATCGGCATCGAACCTTCGGATTAGCTAAGCCTATATTATTATTTAATAAAATTAATAGTATTTTATACCTCTCAAAATTCTTTAGGTTTTCAAGGTATTTTATTGGTGTTCTTCAGGTTTGCTGTTATGCTCCACCATTGCTGGCTCATCCTTGTGGCGTTGCCAATAATCATCTGTACAAATGATACAATATATTCATTACCATCCTCCAAGGGACCCATCGATGGAGCTAACTGGATGAGAGACAATATCAACACCTTAGGTAAGAGAACTTTGAAGGAAATATGCATGCCAGGTTCCCACGATTCGGGAATGAGCAGTTTCGTTTCGGGAACTTCGATGTCACATTCCTGCAATGTTTTGACTCAGAGCCTTCCCATCAAGGGTCAACTAGAAAACGGCGCGAGGTACTTCGACGTAAGACCGGACATCGTAAGGGGAAACGCGTATCATACTGGACACTACATGAAGCTTCCTGGAGGAACATGTATAGGCGGAAATGGGCAGTCAATGGTATCCATCGTCGACGAAATCAACGAATTCATTTCGAACCACAACGAACTAGTAATAGTAAAGTTATCCCATTCTCTCAACGCAGGTCGCTGTGGTTTCTTCAGCATGCATGAATGGGAATTTGTCTTACGAATTTTGGACAATACACGTAACTTATACGTTAACAAGGATAAAAAAGTACGCTTGGACAAACTTACATTAAATCACTTCACAAATAATGGGACTAAAGGTGCAGTGTTGTATATTACGAACGAGTCTGAAGTGAAACTCTGGCATAGGTTGGGCCAAGGTTTCTTCTACGAATCGAACCTCAACCTGTACGACGTATACGCCAATACGAACCTCTTGCCGAGGATGATGAAGGACCAGATAAAAAAGTTGAAGGAAGTGTCGAAGAAATACTTCTTTCTTCTGTCTTGGACGTTGACACAGGGAGCAAAAGGCGCGATTCTCTGTCGAATGAAGTTGTCAAGAAGTATCAAGGAGCTCGCTGTTCTCGCACACGACAGTTTGCCTAAAATAATTCCAGAAATCAATTCGGACGTTTTTCCTAATGTCCTCTATGTAGATGATATAAGAAATACGGAGATCGTTTCAGTTGCAATGGATATAAACAATAAACTGAATGTTTGAACACCTCGAACAGGGATTTGTAACTTAGAGCTTCCGGCCAGTAAATATGATCGTTAGACGTCATTCATACCCTTTTCTCCATCTATCCCGACCCTTTTCTCCATCTATATTAGTGTTCTTCCTAACGCCATTAAACACTCCAATTACCACCTAAATGCCGATGATTTACAAATATACCAATCATTCAAACCTTCTGAGATGCCTGAGGCCGCCCGGAGGCTACAAGAGGACATCGATTGCATCAACAGATGGGCAGAAATAAATTAATTAAAGCTGAATGCAGATAAAACCAAGGCTATTATCATCGGGTCCAATAATCTCATCAGCTACCTTCCTTACTTTCCTCTGCTTTACCTCAATAACCACCCCATCCATTTTTTCCCTACAGTCAAAAACCTAGGAGTAACCTTTGACCAGAACCTCTCCTGGGATAATCATATCTCACAGATTACCCGAAAATCCATAACTGCCCTTAAACAACTCCTAAGATTCCGTGATTGTATTCCTCTAAAAACCAGACAGCTCCTTGTAACCTCCCTTTTATTCCCCCACTTCGACTACGGCTGCTTGGTGTATGGAGGCCTATCTGCCAGGCTGGAATTGAGACTAAAAAGACTCATGAATTGTTTCATAAGATTCATTTTCGGGATCCCCAGACGTTCACATGTTTCACTATGGTACACCGAGTTGAAGTGGCTTTATCCTACTTCCCGACGACAATTCCTTCTTGGCGTTTTCCTTTTCCAAGTCTTCAGAACTAAAAACCCTCCCTACATCCTGGAACTCCTTACTCTGCGCTCCTCTATCCACTCTCTCAATACTAGGTCTCAACCCATAGACTTATATATTCCCTCCCATAAAATTTCCTCCTTCAGCAAATCCTTCGTCATTCGTGCTGCTTCCTTATGGAACTCACTTCCTACCCCCATGCGTCAATCCTCATCCACAAATTCCTTCAAACAACTCCTGTTCCAACACCTACTCCACATTCAAACTTCCCCTAACATGTAAAATTACTTGCATCTATACAATGTTTAATTTCAATCCATTGCACAATTGAAATAAGAATTAACAATAAATTAGTTGGTATTCTTATTATGTCAGACTAAGATACATAAATTTGTAACTATGTTATTATTCTTAGGGGACAGTAGTCCCAGAATAAAATTATTTTTTCATTTCATTCATTTTCATTTATATTTCATTTTCATACCCGTCTATACCTAACATACCCTTTATTGATGATCACTATGCCAACAGTTTTTTTGATTTATTATTTTCAATAATAAACCATTGTGATCGACCGAAAAATTCAAAAACTTAACCCCCTTTCAAAATTTGAGGTTTCACGTTTCAGGATGCTTAGAATTCGAAAAACCAATATTTTTTTTTTGTCCGTCCGCCCTCCGCGCATTTTCTCAGAAACTACCGGACCAATATTTTTTCAAATTTTGATATAAAATCAGAGGTCACTTGAGGATGATCCTCCTTCATCGACATTACTCTCCTCCTTTAACTTTCAGAATAGCTCCCGAAAAACCTGCGTTGCTATAGACTGTAGCTCCTAAACGAATGTACAAATTTCAATGAAACTTACCTGAAGTTTTTTCTCGACGCCCGTTAAATTTTTCTATATAACATACTTCAACGAAAAGAAGCTGAAAAAAATGTTACGATGGATGGTAAAATTAAATTCCAAATAACTCGAAAATTTTTACTTTTTTGCTGATATTGTATATAGTTTTTAAAAGTTTACGAAATATCCTAAAAAAAAAATATATATATATATTTAAATATATATATATATTTCAAAATCTAACGATATTATATATAATTAAAAAGTATAGGTCATATATCGATATAATAGTATTCGTTTATCGATATAATATCATCACTATGGTTTCATTAGTAGCAAATAAAATTGAATGGTTATTAATACTATTAATACTTCCGCTTCTAATTATTTTTTAATTCTTATTTCAAAACCTATGAATCTAAACTTTAATAAATTACACTTTAAGTTTTAACACTTTCTGTAGAAATATGTTTCATTAATTTTAAGCCACTGGCTTTAGCACCAGTGACGCGGTTGAGAGAGTAGCGCAGGGATCTCTTGAATTACTGTTTTTCCTTCTGTATTTGGGGGCAGAAGTCTGGTTTGGGCTTTCCTGCCTGATTGCATATTGTATATAGTTATGACTGTGGTAAGGGGGCGGGGTGGCCTAATGTGCTAAAGCGTGTGCACAGCACCGCGAGTTGCCTGGCAACCGGATTACAGAATTGAGAAGATTTAAAAAGTACGAGTTCGCGTCCGGGTGCCGGAGGGGATTTTAAATTCTCCGCCCTCACCCTCCGGCACTGGAAAATCCCCTATAGCCTAAAAGTTATGACTGTGTTTTTATGTTTTTAATTTACTTATCTTTAGGTTATTTTATTTTTTATTGTACATAGTTTTTAATTATTATTTTACTTTTGTTAGTTTTTTATTTTCTGTATACATGGTATGCATGTGTTCATATATCACTATAATTATTGTTCATGTGACACATGTTATATTTCTAAATTAAAAAAATAGAAATACTGTACGTGTTTGTTACTATGCATTATATTTATTTCCATTGATGTCATTTATATTTTAAAATATATTATAAACAGTAACCTACGTACAATTGGTATCGATTAAAAAAAAAATTAAAAACACACAGCTCGCCACCTAATACATAACCTATAAATGTGCCCCCAGGTGAAAAAAGGTGAGAACGCTCTAAGAATTAGGCGTTAAACTACGGCAAAATATAAAACTACAATAAATTCATCATAACTTACTACTATAAACCATCTGTTAAAAAAAAATCTGTTTGAATAGATTTAGCAAATACTGAATACGGCTTTGATCGAATTCGAAACAATCGAAAGCTGAATATGGCATTAGATTTTACAGCAAACCCTCAGTTAAAACAAAATCTTTTTGAAGCATGAATAGTTGCCCAACATGCCCAACACCCCAATATGAAGTTCAAAGATCTCTGTCAAAATAAAATTGACGATTTCCTTCAAACATTTTGCGGTTTTGTTTCTTAAATAAATTTTAAAACTGTGGAGTCAGATACTGTGAAACTTTAAAACAATTTTGTAATTATGTTTTTAAAACTCAGCATTAAATTAAGGTATTTGACAAGGTCAAATTATCCCGAATGGATCTATTTTTACTTTATTAAGTAAGGTTTGTAAATTTACAATGAATTATAAAAATGACTAATATGAAAATGTAATTAGCCTGTGATGTTTGTTTTTAAAATAGTTTCTTCAAAAAGAAAAGAGCTGAAACGTTAGTTTTAAAGAAAAATATTTTTTAGTAATTTAGAATTCAAAAAATGTAAGTTAGTGCGCTAATAATTAAACTGCAACAAGCACATTTATAACGTAGACATAATATAATATTATTATCTTATTATATTTATTTATTTTATTCTTTTATTATCAGAATGTAAAGTATGAATAGAAATGTAGAACGCCAACGCTTATTACCCTTGAGTGTGGCAGATTGTATTTTTTTTTTCAATGAATACTTTAAGTAATAAATAAAAGAAAGTTATTGACGTCTGTATTACTAACCATATCCATTTTGTTTTTAATATAGTTCCTCAGCAGTTTTTTTTTTGTAAATAATTATTACTTCTTCTAAATTTACTTAATTTTTGTTATATATTTAAATTTAATTTTTGAGAATATATTATTACGTAATTAAATACATATTTTTTTATGGTCTTCCAAAAAAAAAAACTGTAAAATTCAATGACGTTTCACATCATTTAGGTATTAAGCCCTTTTAGAAACATTCTACGATGGATTAAATTAAATATAGATCTAACATATAAGGTCAGAGAAGCAAAGTAAATTGAACAAAAAGCAAATGAAATTTTAGTTTTTGTGGCTAATATATTATTGATGCTCTTATATTATTGAATGGAAAAACAATATGTCCACAGAAACTGAATTAAAGTTCCATGGTGAAGAAATGGGGTACTTTAAAATTTATTTTAATCTTAAAAAACAAATATAATTAGTGCACAGAATTTTCATAACTTGTATTGATTGATTTTAAGTTTGTATTTATTATTAATGTAATATTTTTAAAGTTTGATAATTTTAAAAAATCTACTCAAAGGTTTTCTAACTAAACTTTATTATTTAGACCTTTAGCGTATAGCTTTTTAATTCACGAAACAGTTGCAAAAAATATGCAATTATAATTAATATGCTAATACCTATTTCGCTAACTGTAGGCCGTTTATTGTGTGTATTTAGTTTAATTCTTGGCTATAGTCGATGCTCCCTTCGATGTATCAAATAAAACTCTCCATAATAACCTTCATATCCCATTTGTTCTTGACCTAATCCCAGACAAATATTCCAAATTTCACCAGAACCTCACTCATCATCCAAATCCCGTAGCACAATCCCTATTCCTATCTCTAGCAATCCCTCCCCGGAGGTTAAAACTATAGTGGCCCACCGACCTTCATTAATTGGACCTTTATATATTGGAGTTCTCGCAATGGCCAGATTCTCCACTCAAGACATGAGCGTCTGTTGCTGTAGTGCCCTCCATCAGTTTCCACCGGTTTCAAACAACAGTGATGCGGCTGAAAGAGAAGCACTGGGATCTCCTGGAGTCCTGCCTTGGCTTCCACATCGGGGGATAAAGCATGGCTCAGAGTCCCCTGGGTGAACGTAAATATTGTACGTAGGTGTAAATGTGTTTTATTTAGCTTTTATCTATTATTTCATTTTCTTGTACACAGGCATATCAACTTACTTATTTTATTTTTTTTTATATTTCTTTTTCCTTATTATTGAAATCTTAGTTATTAATTGTATGTACATATTGTGTGAATGATTCATGTAGCCTTAATTTTAATGCCATTTAATGTGGCAGAATGTATTGATATTCAATAAAAAAAAATGTTTAATTCTTGAATTATGTTTAATTTTAAGAAGTAATGAGATTAATGTTTATTTTTCACAATAATTTTATTATTATTAATTGATGATTATAATTTTAAATAAGAGAAAGAACTTTGGTTTTATACCAAATTTTTCGATTGGTTAAAAATTCGCATTAATATTTTTAACCAGCAAATGCTTACAAGCAAACATCTATCAACATGAGCTTCATAGCCTGATGAAACGATATTGAATCAAGAGCCAAAACTTAGTTCGACAGCATAGTGGAGTTACGCTACAAGCCGAGCTGCAGAATACAAATAAGAGCAGGGCGACGAAAACAAACACAGGCAAACAAACACATTTCAATAGAAGCCCGCATAGTGGAGCGACGCAGTATGCGCCAGAGAGCGTTGATAATAGTATAGCCATCCGAATAACTTGTTTTCGTTGCTGTTGTTGCTCTGTGATGTTACTATAAATGGAAGTTGAGAAGTTAATTGGTGAGGTATTTGTTCGAAAACAATTGTTAAAACAATGTATCCGAACACATTATAATAATCCTTTACAGCGAACAAATCCAAATAGTTACAAATTTTCTTTACGCGATTGAGGAATCCTGAAATTAATTTTATTTTTGTAAAAGCCGCCTTTGAATAAATAATAATAAACATCGAAGAAATCCGAAAAGTTGTTAAAACTCAAAATAGATTTTTTTAAGCATAAAAACCTCCTTTTGAATGTTAATGATGAACAGAAACTAAAAGGAAATCTAAAAATTGTATCAAAGAAATTATTTTTTGAATTATTTATCTTAAATACATATTTAGCGAGTGGGTATTTTCATCGATTAATTTTATGCAGCCAATATTTTCATTGAATAAATATTTATTAAGAAATTTTATTCAGTAATTTGTTTTTCATGTAGCAATAATGAGTAATTCTAAGAGATAAATCAGTATTTTTGTCCTCCCTGGGCCAATGTAAATATTGTACATAGGTGTGGATGTGTTTTATTTATTTTATTATCAATCGGCTTTGATCTGTTATTTTACTTATCTTGTATATTACTTTATCTTATCTATATATCTATATATATATATCTTCTTTTTTTTTTCTCTTCTTACTTGGTTATTTTTATTTATTTTCCTTTCTTAAGTACACATTATGTGAATGAATATTACAGCCCATTATAGCCTATATAGAATATTATAGCCCAATAAAATAAAAATAATAATAACTTTTTTTTAAATGTTTTTTTACCAATTTTTTGTCTTTTTGGGCAACACTAGTGTCTGTACTGTATACAATTCTTAAGAGTGATAGATTTTGACAAATGATACACCAAACGAAATAGAATTTCAACGAAAATTGACCAATGGCAATTTCAAAAGAAAACTACAATAAAAAGTATTGAAAGACAAGCGAGATTTAAGTACTCACATGGTATCAAACGCGTGGGATCAAAGCGGGATAATTTTTGTTTTAAAGATTTCGAAGTGGATATTAAAGACTAGATAAATTAGTAAAGGAACCATGTAATTTTTTTCATGGAAAAAAGAAACCATTTTTCAGAGTCCAAAAAATGTACCGTTTTTGTAAAAATCGTAATTCTTGCCAGAAGCCTAAGTATTAAGGTTGTCATGGGATACTTGCCTACATGTTTAGGTGTAAAACATTAAAATATTAATATGTATTATTGTTTGTGACACTAAAAATTTATTGAAAAGGTAAACGAATCAGAATACATTTATGATCTCTTGAACACATGGGATAGTATAGCAATTCATTGGTATTTTTTAAGAAATAAAAAAATATCCAGATATGTTTTTTTTTTCTCTTAGTAAGTGAGAGACTTGCAAAATAAGGCTCTTTAGCACCAGTGTATAAGTCTTGAGCAATTATGAAATGAATTAGTTTAAGTTCAGGCATTGCTGTGTCTTATTCCTTAACTATTAAAACTTGTACCACTACAACCCAAGACTGTTCAGTACTATTGTGGAAAGTACTGTTTCTTGGGCAAGGAAATGATGTCACCGAGATCGCGCTCAAACGTCAAATTCCCCCCTTGATTAATTAATTAATTAACATTACCTTCTTTATAAAGACAGAGTGTTCCCCAGGGAGGGTCCCCCTATCCCAGAATCGATGAACAGCCGATGAAACTGAATAAATAATTTATCTGTCATCAGCCGGATTCGAACCCAGGAGCTTGAGCTTTGGAAGTTATTGCGGAACCCACTAAAATCCTCCGCTTCGCCTTAACTATTGAACTAGAGGGATATTTTCCAATGATACAAGCTAATCACTTATTAAATAAATTGTTATTCAACAGTCGTATTAAAATATCAAATTTCGCCGATTGTGTGTATTGAATAGATTATGTCATGAACGTATTAGGAAAAATGATAATTTTTTCCTAATACAGTTTAACGATAGATGACTCATTTGGTTTTATGATGCTAAATTATGCTCTATTATTATTTATGTGTTTTTAGATTAACAAAATTAATGTTTTACTTAACAAAGCGACGAGTTCAAATGTTCTAGACCTTAAATCTTATCGATAATATAGTTTGATAAATCGATGTAGGCTAATAAATTGAGATAAGATTGATGTAAGAAGGAGCGAGGTAATACAATGGCCCTGACTTATCAATGGAAGGTAAGAGGGCGCTCTGGTAGCGAAACTGCGTACTAATGATACTAGATCAGGCCAGGGCATTGTTTCCCGCCCCCGCCAAAGGCTACAAAAGCCCGGGAGTTATATATACTTATTAGTAGGGCCTTAATGGACACTATTATATAGGCAACTCATTTTACTGATAATATTTCTCAAACGTCCTATTAAACCTCCTTTTTAATTGAAAGCGTAATTGTATTTTGCATGTATTCTTAAATTTGTCCAAAGGTTTTAAAATTAAAATAATCATTTAAATCCTGTAAGGGATTTTTTTTTCATGTTTTCGCGGCGCTAGGATAGAACACTTGTTACTCTGGACATAGATTTTGCACCAAGGTCTTAACTTAAAATAATATTCATGGGTTTCACGTTCTGTATTATTAGTGGTACTGAACCAAATGGCGTAGTACGTTTTTTGGTAGCAGTAACGTGAAAGTTTCTTTATATTTATTTTATCTAATTCCTGTCCTAACCTAAACGAATTTTAAATCAAACAAGTCTAAATAAATAAAAAAAAAGTGATATACTTAAAACGGAAATAACCTCCAACTGCAGTATTTTTACTCTGATAAAATGCTCCACTTATTTAGTGAATACTAAGTTATATTATACTTACATATCAATACTTAAAAGATATTAAAGCATTAACAATTTAATTTTTTTTTTTTTTGTTTGTTTTTAAGGAATTTTCCACTAATATGGTTATCCTTGACCTAAATATTCTTAAAGATATTTTTGCATTCCTCTTTATCCAAGGTTTATTCTTCTGTGATGCTATGACCCGCCTTTCTTCCAACGCGTCTTTAAATTCCACCCTTGGCCTTCCCTTGTTTCCTTTTCTCTTCTACTTCCAGCTCCATACACATCTTTGGCAATCTTTAAGGCGTCATTTTTTTCACATGTCCGAACCAGCATAACTTTCTCTTTTCAATATTTGCTAAAAAAAAATTTTCCACCTCCATCATTTCAGGAATTATTTCATTTTTGATTCTTTCCCTTTCTTTTCTCGTTTCTCTTCTCCAAAAGTCCATCTCTACTGCTAACAGTCTGTTTCGGTGTCGTGCATTAATGACCCAAATCTCCGAGGCAAATGTCGTAATTGGCTCGAATAGATAGCATTGTATATTAGCCTCTTTGTACTGGACTGTATATTCGAGCTCTTAAGTATTACTGTAACCTTTATTCCTTCAACAATTCTTCTGTCAATACCATTGGTGAATGTGCCTTGTCTATTTTTTTTTACAACTTATTTATTGAAAAATATTACAATCTGTCTTAAGGACATTTATAATAGTGTACTGAGATCACATTCACACTCTATATACAATAAATAAAATAAATTATTCAGAAAAATAATACATGTATACAATAAATAAGAATAAAATAACCTAAAATTAAATAAATAAAAAGAAGACATACCTAAGTATTTACAATCTGGCGAGAGAACTCCAAACCTGACTCGTCCCTCCAACTGTGGAGAGAAAAGCATGACTCCAGGAGATCCCTGCAATTCTCTCTCAACCGCGTCTCTTGGGCTAAACCCAATGGAGATTGAACCAGAGTGCCTATCGATATCGATCCTTTAATATTTTGACAATTTAAGTGCGTCTCATAATTTTACACGACATTTATTAAGTTATGTTTAAACATTTGTAGTTTTAAATCTCCCTTTGTATCTATAGTTCTGAGACGGGTTTTTAGTGGTTTTCTTCACCTGTTAATTTCGGGTTTTAAAAACGCATAGTTCCTTAGGAACTAAATCTTGATGATCGTGTCGATATTATAAAATAAATTTATAGCTTCTCAATTTGTTGAATTTGAAACCATCTGAGTTTTGAAAACTTCCCAATTTTGTCAAGTAGAAATAAGGACACGTCACATTTTCATCAAATTCGCTTATCTTTTATCTCATTTACCTCAAACGATATCTATGAGTTGTTGTACCTTATTATATATAGTGCAGATGTTTGGAGATGTGTCATGAGGATTGGTGCAACCATTATATGAGTAAGTATACAATCATGATTTCTGAATTACTTAATGTTTATTAACGTAATGATTGCCTCAGGTATTTTTTTTTTTTTATAAAATGTATGGCCTTATCAAATATTTATCAAGATCAAACATTTAGTAGATGGTATATTTAGTCCATTTGGAGAAGACTGATGGTAAGAGAGAGGCAAACAGTGTAGGAGATGCTCCAGAGTGGAGACAGATAATAAGAACTGGGACAGAGAGTGATTCGAAGCAGTCATTAGTGAACGACAGTGACTGATCGAAGAGCCAGCTAATTTGATAAAAGATCCTCCCCCCCCCCTCGCATCCCCCCCCGACCTAATGGACACGCTCTGCCTCACTGTCCTCTCGTAGGTAGTGTCCTCGCTGAGGTCCACATTTTAGGCTTTGACCCTTCCGTTAAAAGGCAAAAATGAACTTTGACAGGAGCTGCTCTAAGAAAATAGCCAAATTTATTTTGTAAAAAATGAAATTCAATAAGGCAGAAATAAATAAAACAATTACTACTGTAAAAAATAAACAAGCCTAAAGTATCAGAGAAAAAAAAATTGAAATATTCTTATCAAACTGATAGAAGACGATAGCTGGAGGAAGGAGTTCAGAAATAAAAGATACCTAAATAGTAAATGAAAATACCAAAGTAAAGTATCTAAAGTTATAGATACTAAAGTACTTTATCTAAAGTAAAGTATCTACTAAAGTAATGTATCTAAAGTAAAATTTTGAAATATTCATCTCAAAGCTGAACGAAGATGATAGCTAGATGAAGGAGTTCAGAAATAAAAGATACCTAAATAGTAAATACCACTAGCTGATCCACGATTGATTTTTTTTTTTGGAGAGGGGGACTTCAGCCCGAATGCTTTTTTTGTTCATATATCTAGAGATAATTAATTTGAAAAAGAAAAGAAACTAACTACCTATATGACATGGTGTTTAAGTGATTCTTGAAGTTCTATTAAATGAAATTACACGAACAGTAATATTTTTAAGAGATAGTTTTTAATATTTTTTTCTATAAAACATAGTTATATTTTACCATTTTGGGGATGGGGGCTTCAGCCCGAAAATCTGCCTGTGGTAAATACTAAATATTACTAAATGCTTATGCTAACTACTATGTATCGTAGAGGCTGACTTACAGTGGATCTGATACGGAAAAAAAAACAAAAATAAATGTACTCCAATCACACTTTTTGTACTATATTATTTTTTTTTAGCATCCCTAGAACGTAGTCCAATTACTGTTTTCTCCAGTTTCTCTCTATTTAGCCCTTAAAAATACAAATTAATGAGCAATTGTAAGTGATTTTTCAAAAAATTAATGGAATTTAAAAATATTTTGAATAAATATTTTCAGGTTTCGATAAGAGAGAAGTTACTGATCTTGTCTTTGAAATGTCTTACATGTGGACAAATAAATATTTGAAAAATGAATTTTGGTACAGTCTTACAGTTCGTTGGCTTTCGTGGTCATAACTATGTAAAGATCGAAGCATAAATTAAGTATAAACGCAAAATAAACTACTAGCTACATTAAGCTACACACTGGGACTTATTCCATTCGATAGTAGGTTTCTAAATGTTTTATTTATTTATTTATTTTTATTATTGAACTTTACAACTGTATTAAATGATAAATACAACAAGTAAATATGAAACAAGTAACATGACACGTACAACCTGAAGAGAAACTACCCATTGATAGCACTCCCATCATATTTCTATATTAGAAGGTCCCATGTTCTTTTCAGACGCCTTGGAGGGTTATCAGGAATAGAAGAGGAAGCAAGGCTGGAAACAAGAGAGTGGTTCAGAAGTTTATTATGGAAGGATAGGTATTTGGATTGAGCTAAATCGGAAACATATGGTACATTAAGATCGTTATGGATGATTTTATTTGTGACAAAGTAGGGAGCATTAAGGTTTTTACGAAGAATTTTGGATTGTAGGGATTGGATACGAGAGGAATTTGATAGTTTAAGAAAGCCCCAAAGCTCGATCCCGTAAGTCCAAATAGGCCTTATTATAGTAATATATATGAGTCTTTTGTAAATAGTTGGAAGTTTAGAGCGTTTGTCTAGTAAGTGTTGCAGTAGTCGGAAACGTCAAGCGGTTTCTAATCGTTTCAGTCTGGTATTTTACTTTACTAAAAATCCTTTTACTCAGTTATGAAATGAATCCCAACTTACTCAATCACAAACCTCAATTTAATTCATACAGATATAAAGCTAACAAATAAGGTTTGGTATCTTCAATCCGGTTGGGAGGTAATAAATAAATCGCGAAGAATCCTTTATTTCATATAAACCGTATTTTAACTACTTAAAAGTTTCCTTTAAAAGTTTGTAAAAAAGACTAAACTTGCTTAAATGTTATGTAAATTTAATCCAATACACTATGAAGTAATTTGATTCAACCTAAGTTATACAATTTTTTAGTTATTGCTTTTTATTTAACATAAAACTTGGTTGACTTAAAAATTACAAATTTTAAGTTTCTTGGTTCTCTGTTTATAATCAGACCATAGTATCAGTATTATACAATAATATTTAATCAGATGACCATATCATGTAATCAGTTTATAGCAACTTTTTTTTAGGTTTTAAGGTATGTGTAAACGTCGCAGATTTGCCTTTCCTTTTTTTTCAGTATCGTTTTTTTCGAGCTGTTATCCCTTTTTATATGTTAATGGAATAAATGTGTATTTATATACTTTTAAAAGCTAAGATATAATTGTTCCAGAAAATATATCTCAATGTATATTATTTATAATGATGTAGAGATGGTTGACCGAGATATAATATGAGAAGGAGTTGATCGGGGGTGCGGTCAAATAAATACTAAATTATACAAATAGTATTAATTAATTTTTCCGACGTTTCGACCCACTTTGCAGGTCTTCATCAAGGAGTAGGATGTAGCACTGCGGGAGGCAGTTGAAACACTCACACACTCAGGGTTTCAACTGCAGTGCTACATCCTACGCCCTGATGAAGACCGCCAAAGTCTGTCGAAACGTCAGCAAAAATTAAATAATACTGTATGTATAATTTAGTATTTATTTGACCGCACCCCCCGGTCAACTCCTTCGCGTATATTATTTATATATTGTATATTATTCACAATGTATTATCGCCTGTTTAAACGCACCAGCCGGCAGTAATACTCCGTTAATAGCGTTAGGTATTAAGACATTAAAATATTATGATAAGACTGCCGGAAATTCAGTCTGGAGCGAGCTTTCGCTGCTATTAAGTCCACGTATTGGACGTTTTCTTCCCCACCATCTCGCCAGCTTCAGGCTCAACTTCACCTAGCGGCATTTTCAAACAACAGCTGTGACATCGGCAGTAGTTATCGATATCGATAGGTCTATCGTATCGATCACCCCACCATCGACTGGTTTTGACATCAGCTAATACTCAAAAGGTAACCTCGTTGGAAGTAGAGCTTCCAACATGGATTGCTTTTATTCTCCACCGTCTGAGAAAGACTTTTAAAAATTAATTTAATAACTTTTCTCTTCGTTTAATTTTCTCTTGTTATTGATTTTAATTTCAGAAGTTATTTTTATTTATGTGATAGAATGGACAATTTTTTATTTTCACTGAATATTGTATTTATGTTTGGTTCTATTTCAGTGTATTTTAACACTCCTCTTTCATTTTGTTTCGTTTTCAACATTTGTATATATGTTTTCCACTATAATAAATAGTGTAAGCATTCAAAAGAGGGATTATTTATTTTCCATATTTAATCGATTGAATATTTTTTTTATTATTTGATATGCATGTGTTTTAAGCTTGTTTTGCACGTTTCATCGTCTACTATTTTTTTTCCTCTTCTTTTCCATAGTTTAATTTTATTCGTATTTTCCCCTCCTTTTAGGAAACTCATTGGGGAAACTGTCACAGAATACCAGTTATATGAAATTAATTCCAATCCAAACTTGATATCAATATCACGAAACTTGATATCAATATAAACATTTGGAAGGAGTTGTTTATTTTTTTTTGCTTCATTGATTGATTTTTTGTATGAACCTAATTACAATTTTTAATCATATCACCAACCATTTGCTTTTAAATAATAAAGAAAATAATTCCTCTAGGGAAAGTTTGGAGTTTAGATCGGGAAACAAAACTTTAAACAAATATTAATTATTTATTTATTTATTAGCTAAAATATTATTTATAACATCAACTTCGTAAAAAAATGTAACAATAATATAAAAAATAAAATAATTTGTTCAAATATCATAAAAATGAATAAGTAGATTTTTCTGTCAGCTCTCAATTAATGATGATGTTTTGGTATTCCTCCTCAAAGGAGAGAACTCACTGGACTCGAGAACTTGAAGAAGTTCCATTGCAGAAGGTCTTGCGTTGTATCCCTCTTCAGTGCACCACCGGAAGATCTCGACGAAGGAATAATACTCTCTGTCTAATCCGGATAAAAGACGCAGTCCGCAACCTTAAACAGTTCTTATTAATTAATTACAGGAAATTTCAGAATAATAATTTCAAAATCCATAATTCAAAATCGGATAAAAATATGAAAGAAATTGCGTATAAATTTACAAGTGTTGGTCTACTATGATATTTGTACATATAATACGAATACATACATGTAATAACGAGTGTTGAGATAATAAAGCTTTATTTTTCTAAGAAAAAATTCTGTTATTTTAGTTTATTTCGTATTTCTAATTCATTGTACATACGTTTTTTTTAATTTAGATAATTAGTTGACATTCGATATTTTCGAGTGCCTTTGATTAAGGATATTTATTAATTAGTGTGCTTTAAGATTTATTAATATTAGCATTGCCCAAATGCGAGACCAAGACGAGTTTTGATCTTGCAAACTCAGTCTTGGTCATGGTATCGATCTTGCGCAAGAGTCTTGCAACCGTCTTGCAATTACTTATTAGCTTATTACTATAGAGATATTACTGTAATTTTTTAGATAGGGATAATCTAACTAAGCCCTAATGAATAATTATAGGAGTTAAATGCAAAAATATATTAGTTATACCAATTATTAATATACAGTAAATAGGGTAGTCAAGTATTAGCGACTATTAGGGCAAGTATTGCAATCTTGAAAATTTTCGAGGTTGTGTTTTCACACGAAATATGCGTTTTGAGGTACACTGAATCCAAATAACCAAGTCCCTTTTTAAGTTTTTTAAAAAAAAAATTTTATGTTTGAAAAATATTTAAAACCCACGGATTCAAGGCAATGACATTGTTTAAGATAATGTTTCATTGCACTTGTGTTAAAGAAGAAGTGATATATAAAAATATTTTATGGATACGTTTATAACCTTAAATATATTTAGTGTAGTTAATAACTCAAAATAACTCTAGATCTGTTATTACATTTAAATAATTAGGAATCAATCGTATGTTTATTATGAAAAACATCAACTTTAGTAAATTACTTTTTAGGAAATTAGATTAGTGAATAATTTGATAAATTTTCCCTATGCGATATTCCAACAGAATCCACTTACAATCAGTGTGACAACTTTTGATCTGCCTATGACAGACGATGCAAATTCCGTTTTAGTAAACTTTGCAATGGAAAATAACAGTTTAATAACAAATAGTCGTACAATCCATAATCAACGAATCGTACAAGCCATAATCAACCGGTGATATAATAAATAAGACTTTTGTTATTTTAATAGTATTTATGATTTGTTAGCTTTAATCTTTTAGCTAACTCGTAAATTCCCATTTGCTTTCCACTTGAATCGTAAGACAACTTGAGCATAAAGTCGAGAAAAACGATGGCCTTTAAAACTATCGAGAAGTTTGGCGAAACCTACACCTCCAAATTGTCAAAATAACAAGGTTATATAGGCCAAACGGCGCAATATTCTTGTATACCACCATTTTTAGCAATATTACGAAGCTATTTACGAAGCTTCAACCGGCTGTTAATTTGATAAAAAGGGACCTGTGCCACGGACTAAACATCTAATATATTTTAAATCTATCCACAAAATTTAAATATTAATTAGCAAATAAAAATGTACAAACTTACCGCATTCAGATTCTGTTAATTCCTCTTCAAATTCATTTGAATTTCTTTCTTTCTGGATGCGGTAATAATGAAAGAAAGGTACTTTCAAGGTAAGCATTTCATAAACCACCATACCTGAAATAAAAATAATTAATTATTGAAATATAATATATTTCATAATATATTGTAACCGAAATTACAATATAATATTTTCTCTAGATACCACACCAGTTTTAATAAATATTTAATATGGCAGAAAGGTAAAAGTATGGCCGATGTAGCAATGTGGGAGGAAATATTTTTCCAGTGAGAAACAAAGTTAATGTTCGGTTTTAGTAGCTAAAAAAAAGTCTTAAATTTGAATTTTTATAGCTAAATACAATTTTCGGCACGAAATTTTTGGCTAGGCTGGACCCTTGAGAATTTCGTCAACAACCACAAAAGTTATATAACTTTAGAAGACTTCACTAATCCACACAAAATTAATAGGAATTTAGGCCTCTATGTGTTACACGAAATAATATAAAGCCGATATTCGTAAACAAATTAAAACTTAATATATAAAATAAAAATTGGTTAGAAATTTTTCTTAATTTCTAGGTTGAACAAAAAATGAAATTCAAAAGTTTTTGGTGTCCGATGGATGTCACATTCAATATATTGCTATAATCAATTACATTTATTTTTACTGTTAGATAGAACTTGATACAAATGATACTAGAGCATTTTTAAATTATCTTGCAAATTTATAGTGATTTTGGCCAAAACCGAACGAATCACATTTTTTAAAAATCAATGCTGTATCAAGGAAAATAGATTTTCTAAAGCGTAAATAAAAAACATTTTTTGAAAGTCATTAACAGAGTTCGATAAAATTGATATCTGATCGATTGTGCTTTCACAATTCTTATCATTCCTGCAATTTTTGGGTTAACTGACCTGCGAGCTTCAAAGATTTTGTGTAAAGGTAGAAAACTGCAGTTTGATCAAAACGTTTTAACTCGGATAAAGAAGGCTTTTTTTTTTTGTTTATTTTAGCAGATACAAGTCAAATACAGAATGCGTGTCATATCACTTAAATAATAAGTAACTATATGGCAAATGCTATGTATGCCTAACCATACCTAGAGAGAAGATATCAGCTTTGGTAGTGAGTGGTCCAACATCTACAGCTTCAGGTGCAGCCCAGCACAACGTGCCGACGTACTTCTGCACGTCAGCAGTACCGTCTTTCCGCAGGCTTATGCTGAGGCCGAAGTCACACAACTTTACCACTCTCACATCTCCTAAAATATTATAGCAGTGTTATAATCGAGATGTAAGAGTACATATGAATCCTTGAATTATTCTTCTTTCGTCTTTTTAGGATTATCAGAAATTGAAGAGGAAGCGAGGTAAGAAACGATAGGGTTAGGATGGTTTTGAAGTTAATTATGGAAGGGTAGGTATCTGAATTGGACCAAATCTGAAACATAAGAAACAGTAAGGTCATTATGGATGATTTTATTTGTAACAAAGTAGGGAGCATTGAGAATTTTACGGAAGATTTTGGATTGTAAGGATTAGATATGAGAGGACTTTGATGGTTTAGTGGAGAACCATAGCTCAACTCTATATGTCCATATAAGTCTTATTATAGTCGTGTATATGAGTCTCTTGTAATTAATTGGAAGTTTAGAGCGTTTGTCTAGTAAGTGCTGAAGTAGTCGGAAACGTCGAGCGGTTTCTTGTCGTTTAAGTCTTGTATCAGGATAACAAGCAAGAAGCAACGGATTTGTTTAACAGTTATAAGTGGATTATTGTTTAAGGGAACTGAAGGACAGGAAGTCATAGGTTTACGACGATGGATAAATGTAATTTGGTGGGATGTATTGAAATTTAAATTAATTTTCCAGTTTTTACACCATTTTTTAAGATTTATGATGTGTGATTGATCTGTTATTATTAATTGATAGGGTACACGTGTCATCGGCATATGTGGTGATGGCAGTGTTGGGATAGGTTAAGATGTCAGCTGTTTAAACTGTATAAAGGATAGGACCTAGAATACTACCTTGAAAAACACTAGCAAAATGAGAAAATGAGATGAATAGGCATTTTTACAATTTACTAAGTATCTATTAGTAAGGTACTAACCGATGATTAGAAAGTATACAGGTGGTATGAATGTTTGTAATTTGTACAGCAGTCCCGAATACCAAACTCTATCAAACGTCTGCTCAACAATGAGAAAGACTGCCGTACAGTTCAATCTGCGTTTCAATAGTATCGCTCAATAATATCCTCATATGCTATGGAGTTCTATTAAATTCCTTTCGTATTCAATTGTTACAATCTAAAATTGTACCTAAAATCTTCAATGCTGATTAGATTATCAAAAATAAAATCATCCATAACGACCTTAAATTCCATATATTTCAGACTTCATCCAATCCTATCCTATCCAAACCTATCCTTCCATAATACACTTCATTACTATCCTTCCTTTTGGGTCCTCCCCTTCCTGGCCTTTAAGGCTATACGGGGTTTTCCCGGGCCAGAGAGTGAGGACGGGGATTTAAGAGACTCCCTGGCACCGGACGCAAACTCGTGCCTATTTTAATCTAGTAATCTCATGTATCAGGTTGCCGGGAAACGGCGGTGCTGTACACACACGTTGGCCCATTCAGCCATCCCGTCCACCACTTCAGAACTATCCAAACTCTCTCGTTTCTAATTACAGTTCCTCTTCGATCATTGATAATCCTCTGTGGCATATTAAAAGAAGATGACCTCGCGATCTTCCTATGTAGAAATTATATTAGATTCTACCATGGGTAGTTTTTCTACGGGTCTATTAATGTTATTATATTTCTTTCTTCAAATTTACTTAATGTATTTCTGAATACTTGATGGTTGACCGTTGTGTATTTTATAAGAAGGAGATGATCTGAGGTGGCGGTATTTTATGACCACCACCCCGAACATATCTTTCCTCATTAATGTATTTTTATAATTGTAAATTCCATGAATAAATAAAAATAAATATTATAATGACTCAAGCCTAAAATAAACTAATAAATGTTAAATTACCTTTTATCAGAATATTGTGAGATTTAATATCACCATGCAGTAAATACTTTTCTGTATGCAGATAATCCAAAGCCTTGCTTGCCCCTTGCAGTACTCGACATATGTATTCAGATAACATCGTTCTTCGACCGTTACCTTGAAGCCTTTCGATATAGTCTCCTAAGCTCTGTTCCAGCTCTTCCATCAGCAGTACCTGAATAGAATAAATGATTTAATATCTAGTTGACGTTTACAAATAGTTCACATAGTATATAACTATGTAACTACGGCATATTATGTTTATTATATTATTATACATAGACTGATGATATAATAAGAAAATCAGTACATTTTAAGGGATGGTGTGTTTCCCATGATCGATTACAAAGGTTCGTTTTTGAAAAGAAAAACAAACTTGGGGACAAAGTCGAATTAGCTTTATCTTCACAGATAATATTTGAACAATATATCACAGATATCAGTTTAAGCACCGTTTTGACCCTGCATTCAACGGAAAAAATGCCTTTCCGCTATCGCAAATATTGTGATGCACTTATCGGTGAAGATAAATATAAAAATAATGGCTTAACCATTTCGTTGTTTTCGAAGAATTATTAAACTTAATATAAAATGCTGACAATAAAAACATCTTCAAGAAAAAATATAGCAATTTCAACCTTTTCCAAGTCAAATTCAACCTTTTCCAAATCAAATTAAACTTTTTCCACGTCAAATTCAACCTTTTCTATTTCAAATTAAACCTTTTCCATTTCAAATTCAACCTTTTTCTATTTATTTAATAATTTTTAATTCTTCAATGTATGGGGCAGTTATCGTATGCGTAGTTTTTAAAAATAACCTCCTTTTAAGATTACGCCACAATGTTTCGTTTTATTTATTTTTTTCGAATTTATTCGATCTAAGGATCTACTTACATGTTTTTAGGACCGTCAATTTTGAAAATGACCTGCATTTTAAGATTATGACACTGCGTTTCGACTTATTTAAATTTTTCGGATTTATTCGATATAAGGGTGTATTCTTATGTTTTCGGAACCGTGGATTGTGAAAATGACCTCCTTTTCAAGATTACACCAATGCATATCGAGTTATTTAAGTTTTACGGATTTACTCGATATAAGGATTTATTTAAGGAGATAATAATAATAGACCCTCATATTTAAAAATGGCCCTTATTTCGCAAGAAATAAAAAAAATAGGAAAATTCGAAGCTTTAATCTGAAATGAAAAATTGTTGAATTTGAATTTTAAAATGTTTAATTTGAAATGGAAAAGATTTAATTTGACTTGGAAAAGGTTGAATTTGACTTGAAAAAATTGAATATGACATGGAAATATTATACCAAAACAACCTAAAAGTTAACATAAATGGATATGCAACCGCGTTATCACATTTTCTTTTTTTTTTTGTATTTTTATAAAGCTATATTTCTAAAAGCTACCTTCCATAATACAGCAAGTGGCGTTTATTTCGAAAAAAATCGAGAAAATTTAAAGGTTGAATTTGAAATGGAAAAGGTATAATTTGATTCGGAAAAGGTTGAAATTGACTTGCAAATGATATATATAACGGTTTAAAAAACACACCACGGTATACTTTCTTACTTTTCTATCTTTAAATGTCAAGCAGCCCATGTAAGTGACGATATTCGGATGTGATATTCTTTTTAAAATGTCTGCTTCTTTAAGAAGTCTTTGATATAGTACATTGCTTCTATGAGGTCTTTTGTTCATCATTTTTAAAGCTATGCTCCCAGATGTGCCACTAGGATTTTTCACAACTCTGTAGATTGTTGCACCTGTAAGATTAAGAGGTTATGTTTAATTTTAATTTTAACAAAACATTTTCATTCATTCGACTCCCACTATGAATTATATTACCTAAAAATATTCAATGAAGGGTCAATCCACTTTAAGTCACCCAATTTGAATTGATTTTATTGCTCGGCATTTTTTATACCAGTTAATTAAAAAAATGAAAATTTTTTGAGGCCCAGAACTTCTTCTCGGCGGCCATTTTTAATTTTATTTTTCACTGAAAATATGTTTTGGGAAAATGCCTGTAGCTGTGGTTATTTTGAAGATATCAAGAAAAGAAAATTAAAAAATTTAGAGTATTTTTCCCACATTTTAGTTGATCAATACCTAACCTAGAACGGGAAAGAAGGTGGTTTAAAAAAACATGAACATAGAAAAAAGAAGTGACTTTTAATGCTGAAAAAGTGATATAAAGAAAAGAGTCTCAACTTTAATTTTTTTTTCTTATGTAGTCCTATTACTGTTCTTTCTGATGAAATTTCAGTCTTCAAAATATTTTCTTTTTTTAAATATGAATTTTCAAAAATTGTTATTGGCGATTTTTTATGTTATATATCACAAAAAGTACTGAGTGAAAAAATGTGAAATTTATAGAGTATATACATATTAATGATAGGAATGTGTGATACGAATTTGATCATTGAAATTCAACTGATTCTATTAGTAATAGCGTAACAAATATGGGTACCTAGTGTGTGTCGGTATCAGCGTATCCTATCTACTCTAACCGCAGCATTTTTGCAGATATCAAAAAAAACTAAAATTATTGTGATGCTTTACTCTACATTTTTGTTCTCACAATGTATCTTATAAGTAGGGCGCAATTTTTTTTTTTTTAAATTGACTACTCTAAAAATTAAAATTAACATTAAAACATTAAAACGAGACATTTATCGGAAGAAAAATGTAGTAGTGAAAAGAGTCTAAACTTTTTTTTTCATATATAGTCGTATCAGTTTACTAGTTGCTGATGAAATTTCAGTTTTAAAAACCTTATTCTTTTTAGATATGAGTTTTCAAAAACGGCCGAAACTCAATCATTTTCAACTTTATCAAGATTGTCTTGGCTTAGTTACTTTATTAAAAGGCATGAAAGGACAAGTTGGGTCATTGGTAGAAAACTTCCAGGCCTTACTTCGAAATTATATGGGTCGTATTATAACGAAATGGTTTAACTCCGGACGTCTTCAATATATTTAAATATGAAAACATAAGGTTCACGCTAATGTTAAAGTCACTACTGGCAGAAAAGTAGACCGGATTTAGACATATCGATGACCAGATATTCCAATTAGCCCAGTCAAATGAATACAAAAAAAGGGGTATTCCTTTCAAAAGTTCGTGAAATTCAAATTTATTTTTTATATGTTTAGGTATGTAGTTAATATAACAAAACCAAGTTTACGCTCTTTAAAACCTTGTTGGTTCGCTGCAATGTTCCAAACACCATTGAAATTTCGAACATTTTTTGGTTTAGGCTATATATCTCCTTTTTAAAGCGAGATAGATAAAAAATGGTTATATTTAATGTTAAACAACTTAACATGATCTAACTAACTAACCATATCTCCCACATTACCAGAAAATCCATAACTGGCCTTAAACAACTCCTAATATTCCGTGATTTTATTCCATTAAAAACCAGACAGCTCCTTGTAACCTCTCTTGTATTCATCCACTTCTACTACGACTGTTTGTTGTATGGAGGGTTAGCTGCCAGAAATGAGACTGAAGAGACTCATGAATTGTTTCATAAGATACATCTTCGGGATCCCCAGGCGTACATGTTTTACTCTGGTATACCGAGTTGAACTGACTTTATCCTAATTCCCGACGACAATTCTTCCTTGGTGTTTTCCTTTTCCAAGTTATCTGAACCAAAAGCCCTCCCTACTTCCTGGAACTTCTAACTCTACGTTCCTCTGTCCACTATCTTAATACCAGGTCTCAACCTATAGACTTTCCTACCTCGCCTTTTAGGCTGTACGGGATTTTCCCGGGCCAGAGGGTGAGGGCGGGGAATTTAAAATCCCCTCCGGCACCGGGACGCGAACTCGTACTTTTTAAATCTTCTCAAATCTGTAATCCGGTTGCCAGGCAACTCGCGGTGCTATGCACACGCTTTAGCCAATTCGGCCAACCCGCTCCCCACTCAACCTATAGACTTATATATTCCCTCCCATAAAACTTCTTCCTTCAGCAAATCCTTCGTCATTCGTGCTGCTTCCTTATGGAACTCCCTCTTTACCTCCTTACGTCAATCCTCGTCCACAAATTCTTTCAAAGAACTCCTGTTCCACCACCTACTCCACATTTAAACTTCCGCAAACATGTGAAATTACTTATATTTGTACACTGTTTAATTTCAATCTACTGCACAATTGCAATGCCAATTAACAGTTAATTAGTTTGTATTTTATATTATCCCAGGAAGAAACATACTAAGAATATACTAAGAAACATAAATTTGTACATGTTATTATTCTTAGAGGACAGTGGTTTCAGAATAATTAAAAAACGGTGAAATATTGGTCCTGCATTATAACGATTGAAAAAATCATATGGCGTTTTACATTATATATATATATATATATATTTATTTATTAAAACTCTTTATAATAATCCCGTTGAGAAACCTTGGACTAATAACCTGAATATAGCATTAAAAAACTTAATAGGAAACATAGTAAAATAAACTTTAGTGCAGATTGTCCAGATGGTATATAAAATTAATGAAGGCATGCTCCGAAAAAATACAAAGTTGTCAAACTTTGTAGAATAATTATTTAGACCGCTAACATAACATTTGATCCAAGATTAAACATAACTTAATTAGTTGTTAAACGCATGAATTATGTATTGATAGATTATGGATTAATTGATCTTATTCTTATCTTGATCTTGATAAATATTGATTTATTTTACTAAGTCATGGTATTATTCAATTAATTATTTCATATTATTTAACCGTGAAAGTTATAAGTAATTTTAACAAAGTATAAATTTAGTTTCAAAAGCTTTTCAAACATTGTTAGTAAAGCAATGTTCAAAAGCTCTTGAAAATTAATTAGGAAAGAGGTTATAATTTAGATTTTCCACGGTTTGAATACATTTTTGTAGTTGTATAGTTTGAATATCAATTTAGATGAAAAATGTGTATGCCTTGTCCAATCAAAAAGGAAATACATATAATGGTTTTATGATAATTTAATTTAGTCATATTTTCAAGGTGAAAGTTCTCAATTATGTTTTTTATTATAAATACTTAGCATCGATATGTTAAAATATATAATCGATACGGGCAGATGTCATGTTGCATTCACTATAGCTTTTAACCTGTCGAAGAGTGAGGCATCGGTATCCTAACTTCAACTAATTCAACTGAAACTAATACCGCCAAACACTTGCTATTTTTCTGAAAAGATAATTTTACAGAATCTTAAATTTTATAAATTTAATAACTTTGTCGTGGCGCAAATTCATTACCGGTTCCGTATCCAATAATTTTCATGATTCCATTCACTTCTGTGCAACTTTTGGAGACTGTTTTTCTGTTTACTTTCATCGGTTAGCTAGAAAAAAAACAATGCAAACTTTTTTTTTGTGGGACTATGAGTTTGAAATTATTTCAACAATGAAACTATCCGTTCACAACCTTCTAAATGGCAAAATATTTATTCATTACAGATTCATTAGACATTGTTCTTTGTTGACTAGATTATAAACTAAATACTATAACTATATTTAGGCAGCAAGTTATCTTTCTGGAACATGTGAGTTCTTAAGCAAATGCAGAACATTATTCCAGATAGAAGAAAATAAAATTATACATTAATCATTTTAAGATTTATAAATTACTAATTTATAACATCAACGGGTCTTTGCATCAAAATATTTTAATATGAAATATTTACTGATTAAGTAGATATATGGTTGTTATTAACTCCGCATGTTGTCTCATTCAGAGGCAGTTGCCGGTCTCAAGTCCAGATTAGGAAGGAGGTTTGGTTCGGTGGGATAATTACCCACTAACCGTGAAAAACCTGAAGAATTCTGAAAACAATAAACAGCCTCGGATATAGATACATAGATAGAAAATAACTTTATTCTGGGACATAGTCCCATGAGAATAACAAAATAGAACAAAATTAAAAGATTGCATCTGGCCAAAATAAAATCAATAGAAAAAAAGAAATAATGTAAAGAAAATATAAGGTAAACATTCTATATACAAAACAAACGAAACTATATACAATATAATTAACACTATGACAAGACACTTTAAGCTATTTGCTCTGATAGACCAGTATACACTTTTAAGAAAACAATAAAGAATTAAAAAATAAAAATATATTAAATTCTTCATTAAAATGAGATTTGTGTTTCTGTTGAGAATACAATATAAAGTGACGATTAAGATATAAATACATTATCATTTAAATTTTGATTAATGTATAAATACATAATCATCATTTATCAAGGTAACAATTGGCAAAAATGTAGTGGTGTATAAAAGGAATAGATATAAATTACCAATAGGTGAGTTCAGTGACATCAAGAGTAGGAAAATCTTTACTCTATAAGAAAATTAATACCTCTATCAAAGAATTCAAAGAAGAGCATTGATGTTTGATAATGAATGGCATGAAATAAATATATATTTTCAAATGGTTAGCAACTATCTGTTTTTTGGGTTAGGAATTGGAGTAGGTGCTTTTTGAGTGTATGGATGGGGAATGTCGAATTTTGATAGGGAGGGAATTCCAGAAATTGACAGAGCGAGCAATAAAGGAGTTTTGGAATGAGGAAGATCTTTGACAAGACATGTAAAGGTTAGAAGGTCGAGAACTTGTGGACAGAGAATGGACTGAGGATTTGAACTGGAGAAGGTTGTAGAAGTAAGAAGGACGATGATTGTTGATGATTTGGTAGAGGAAATTACCTAAGAAATATTATCTTCAGAAGGAGGGGAAAAGACACCTTAACTCAGCGTAGTGGTGAGAAACATGGATGTATCTTGGGGCCCCAATTACAAATCTTACGCAGCTGTTCATTAGCCTTTTCATTCTATCGCTGAACTCCACAGAGAGGCCATCATACACTTGACAGCTGTAGTCAAAGTAGAGGAAAAATGATAATGGAAACTATTAGTCTAGTTATGTTATGGAGTCTAGAGTATGTTGAGGTAGGAGATGGCGGAAGCGATGGAATAGTTTGAGGTTGGAAATTGTCCGTCAAAAGATGTGAGAAATATAATGGTTCTATAAGAGATATTGACCAATGAAAAATCCTAAATTTCTAACAGAGGAGTAGAAGGAGATTGGTCCGTCATTAAGGTGTAGGATGGGAAAGTCGGTATTATTATACATATATGAATATGTATAATAATATATGGATTGTCACAAACATTATTTGACCCTGGCACGGAAACATGGACTTAATTTAGTATTGTGGAATGTAAAAAGATTAAACTGATCTGGATCTAGCAAGAGATTGGAGAAGGAACTTAATAAATATAAAATTGATGTGGTGGCTCTGGAGGAGATACGTTGAAGGAACGTTTGAATGATGAAATTGGACTATTCTGTTTATTAAAAGGAGGGACCATGCATATATATGTGGATCTGGATTCATGAATAGAAAATCTATTAAGCATACTATAATAGAGTATAAGCTCATCAATGCAAGAATCTGCACAGTACGACTTAAGAAGAAGTAGAATCGCCAGAGAAGAAAGAAATAATTGATACCATTATGTCAATGAAGAATCGAAATTCTCCAGGTCTCTAAGAGATCACTCCAGACATGTTAAAATAAGTTGGCAGTGATCTGTGGCAGGAAATTTATGACTCAATTACTCTCCGACGCAGATCCTGTCCACATATCCTTTTCAACTCAGTAACTCTTCCCATCTCAGACACAGTTCGGTATCTTGGATTCCTATTAGACAAAAGACTAACATGGAACCCACATAACAGACTTAAAAGACAATAGCTTGACCGACGACTTGGCCAGTTATGCAGACTACGTAACAGAAAATCTAACCTCTCAATTGAAAACAAACTATTAATATACTAGACCATGCTGAAACCCATCTGGACCTACGGACTTGAACTGTGGGGGACAACTAAATTTTCGAACATCAAACGCATTTAATCCTTCCACTCTGTCAAGTCTTCTGTGTAATAGTCAATGCTGCTTATTATGTTACGAACAAAATCTTACATCATGACCTTAACATCCCTTATGTCCTTGACGTTATTCCATCTCGATTCTCAAATTTTCATCTGAACCTAATCCACTATCCTAACTCTTTAGCACAATCCTTATCCAGTTCCAGTCATCCCTACAATCCTCCTCGAAGGTTGAAGCGGCAGTGGACTCGAGATCTTTTGTAAAGACGTCATTGGAGTCCTGGTGATGGCCAGCTTCTCCACTCAAGTCATGAGCGTATGTGGCATTAGTGCCCTCTCATAGTCTCCACTGGATTCCCATCCTAGTGATGCGGCTGAGAGAGAAGCGCTGGGATCTATTGGAGTCTTGAATTATACTCTACACGTGAGAGAAAAGGCCCGACAAGGAGCTCCCTCGGCTGACTGTAAATATTGTAAATAAGTATGAATGTGTTTTTATTTATTTATATTTTTATTTAATGTTGTATCATGATCGATTTATTCAGTTACTCCAAGTATTATTTTATTTTGTTATAATCTTGTTTTTCTTTTATTGTATATATAGTATGTTTGTATTTCATTCATCCTAAATACACAATGCCCTTAATTTGGGCAAAATGTATTTTTTCTAAATAAAAAAAAAAATGGGAGATATTTATGGAAGAAAAATGCCTGAAGATTGGACAAGAGCAGCAATATGTCCAATACACAAGCAAGAATATAAGCTAGTATGTGAAAATTATAAAGGCATTGAAATAATTATAAAATATTGGCGGTACCCCTGCTTGAAAGACTGGCAAATTTGACGGAAAAAAATCATAGGAGAATATAGAAGGCTTTAGGTCTGGAAGATCAACAATTGACCAGATATAGTCTGTGGCACAGACCCCTTTTTATCAAATTCTAAACATCCGCCTGAAACTTCCTAAATAGCTTCAGATCATCGTAACCTACAACTATTTTATTTATGAAATTTCTCGGGATTAAGGCGTTTTAAAACAGGAGGTCGGCAAAGTATGTCTATTTAATTAGATACTAAACTTTTAAATACACATTTGCCCAAAAATATTGGGGCTACAAAAATATTGCACCTCGTTATTTTGATAATTCGGGGATGTAGATCACGACGAACGGCTCAATATTTTTGAAAACCATCTTTTTCTCGACTTTGTGCTTAAGTTATCTTACGATGTAAGTGGAAAGGTTATATACGAGGTTTTAGCACTTAACTAAATAGATAAAGTTTGCGGACCTCCATATTGAAAAAGCTCCAATTCCGAGAATTTTTGTAAATAAATTATTTGTAGGTTACGATGAGATGAAGCTATTTACGAAGTTTCAGGTGGATGTTAATAATTTAATAATTTGGTCTGTAAGATAAGGGTGTACACCTGAAAAATAAGAGTGTAAGCCTGAAATTTCGTAAATAACTTTATCTCATCGTAATCTAGAAATATTTTATTTACCAAAAATTTCGAAATTGGGGAGTTTTCAATTTGGAGGGGGGCTAACTTTGTCTATTTGATAAGGTACTCAAAACTAGTAAATACACATTTGCTTTCCACATGAATCGTAAGATAATTTGATCACAAAAGTAAACACGAAAATCTAGAAAAAAGGTGGAATTTAAAAATATTGAGCAGTTCGGCGTGACCTACACCCCCAAATTGTCAAAATAACGAGGCCATATAGGACAATATTTTTGTAGGCTACGTTTTTTATTGATGTGATCAAATTATCTAACGATCCAAGTAGGAATCAAATGGGTATCTACGAGTTTTAGTACCTAATCAAATAGATAAAATTTGCAGACCTCCATATTGAAAACGCTATAATTCCGAGAATTTTTGTAAATAAATTATTTGTAGGTTACGATGAAATGAAGCTATTTACGAAGTTTTAGTTGGATGTTAATAATTTAATAATTTGGTCTGTACCTCGAAATCAAATAGTCTCTCTGAGAGAGATAACGAAAAAAATGTCATGAATTTAACATAGGCATGCACTTCAAACAGGCTTTCGACAGGGACTTTTGAAACCCATGATAGATGCACATAGATGTAAACGTTTGAAATCCATAAATAAGACACTGGTCATACTTACAAAAATGACGATTTACCTATATAACCTCTTTATTTTTAGTTCACGCAAAACGGTTCAATATTTTAGTTTGCCATTTTTTTTCTCGAGTTTATGATCGAATTATTTTGCCATCCAAGCGGAAACTAAGGTGCTCATTAGTTATTCGTGGATGCTCATTAGTTATTCGTGGATGCTCATTAGTTATTCGTGGATGCTCATTAGTTATTCGTACCTAATTAAATAGGAAAATTTTGCCAACCTCTAGATTGAAAACGCCTCATTTCTGAGAATTTTCGGAAACAAAAAAGTTATAAGTTACGATGAGATGAAGCGAAAAGAATGAAAAGAGGTCTGTAGCACGGAATATATGTGAAAAGGCCACATTGTGCAACACAAAGATACATTGTCCATTAAAAAAAATATACACATATATATTTATTTAAACGTATTTTTACATCCACACCTATGTCCACACCATTTCAATCAGTGGATTGTCTGGAAAGAATA